TCATAATTCTTACAGGCCCACACAAAGCCGCCCTCTGATTTCATTACATAGGCAACCATATCATCGATCAGACGATGTTCATACCAAATGTTTTCGGCTTCATAAGCTTCTTTGTAAGTTTTCTCGTAGATTTCCTCAAAGATGTCCTTGAAGCGTCCATCATATTTTTTAAGTATAGTGTTTTTAGTACTCAAATATAAAGGCAACTTACGTGCCAAGGCGTACTTAAAAGAGGAATGAGCGAAATCAATTATAGAGGCATCTGTATTATACATAGCTAACGCTATACCAGCGCCTTTGTAATCGTTAACTACTTGCTCAATTTTTGTTTCGCCATCCTTTGAAACAAACGATAGTGTTAATGTTCCTGAACCGGGTATTAGAAAATCGGTGGCTTTGTATTGATCAGCATGAGCGTGCCGACCAATTACAATGGGTTTCTCCCATCCGCTAACCAAACGGGGAACATTTTTGCAAATAATAGCCTCACGAAATACTGAGCCACCTAATATATTACGTATAGTACCGTTCGGCGATTTCCACATCTTTTTCAATTTAAATTCTTCAACACGTTTCTCATCCGGAGTTATGGTGGCGCACTTAATACCTACATTGTATTTCTTAATAGCTTCGGCGCAATCTATGGTAACCCTATCCTCCGTCTTGTCACGGTTCTCAATGCCCAGATCATACGTATGGAGCTCAATATTCAAAAAGGGTAAAATGAGTTTCTCCTTAATCGAAGCCCAAATGATTCGGGTCATCTCATCACCTAGTATATCCACAACGGGACCAGCGGAAATTTTAGTGGCCATCTGAAATTCAATGTCCAGAATTATGATTTAGAATTTTTAGTTTCTTTCGCAATTTTATAATATTTATGATATATTAAATTTAAATAAATTAATTGAGGGATTGCAAAATATAATGAAAATTAAAAATATAATATATTTTTCTTTTGTGTTTTTTTTTTGTATTGGATTTGTATTTTGTCAAAGCTTCTGTAGAAAATTCTCAAATACATTTGAGTTGGTTTTAATTTTTCTTTTTCAATATTTACTCTACTGAAGTTCTTTTTTTTTTTTTATATTCTTTTAATGTCTTACCCCGGCGTAATTTATTGTTACTGTATGGTTAACTCGCAATAAAGTTGGAGCAGCATTTAATGTTCGGGCTGCTAAGCGTAAGGTAAACATTTTATCGTATCTCCCGTTTTACGGCTATTGTTGATTTTGAAAATATCGTGGGGCCTATAATACTTTTCTGGTTAAAAACGCAAGGTAAACTGATAATGTAACAAACAAAATATTGTACTTTATTCGCATATAATGCAAAAAAATGTTAAAAAAACCAAAAAAACAGCACAAAAGCTAGATTATGCAATGGAATCAAGTCTACAATTCCAAAACATACCAGAGCAAACGAACAAGTTTGATACTGATAGGCCAGGCAAGAGTCTGATAAGAAATTGATTTTGCTTTAGTAAAGAAGAACAAATACAGCCTTTTAAAAATCTACAAAAACAATTTCATAAAAATTATGACAAAGCTTGAGAGTACTTTAACCACCACTATCTACAATCAGCACATGCTAATAATTCTTATTACATTCGAGATGCAATCATACAATTCGAATTTTTAATACAGTGTTCAGTGCAAAGAGATATTTTCTTATAACTATACAGAAAACTTTTAAGAGAGAATTTATTCTCGGTTGGAGAAACAATTTAATAGCGATGATTGAGCGTTTCAACAGAGCTGATAAGAATAGTATGCTGCGAAAGTTTAACTGCCGAAGTACTTTCGTTGAAACTTCCTTTGAATTTTTCAAGGATTGTACACAAATCATTATCTCACAATATTTATATCTAATGTTAGTAAAAGCGAGTGTTCATAATAAAAGTAATATTGTTGACACATTTTATTTATTTAAATTTTATTTGTATATGACATCTTTTACAGTCTAGTGGTACAAGTGTACGAATTTAAAAAAAAAAAAAAAAAAAAAAAAAAAAAAACAGCATTCGGCCGCGATGCAGTAAAAATTCTTCCAAGTAGAATAATTTCCGCATGTCTTAAAAATTTTGGTGGATGTAAATTGGGGGTGCGATCATAATTTCGGAAAATAAAGAAGTAAGAAGGGTGAAGTTAGCTTATATTCATCACCGAAGAATCTTACCCATACCGCCACTACGTCAAGCGAACATTTTCATGCGTCAACGGCTTTTATTTATTGTAAGCCGATTATTAAAATGATTTCGACCGGAGAAATTTTAGTCATATAATCTTTCTTTGGTTATTAATGTCAACATGATGACATATGTATTATTTTGCCACTTGAAATATCTTCAGGAATTAGTTTTGAATATTTTCGTACGAAAATATTTGTGTCCATATCAAAAACTATCTAAATTGGTTTAAAAAGTATTTATATAATAAGTTATAATAAAAACAAAAATTTATTCATATCTATGCGTATGTATGTACTAACATAACGTACCGTACTTTATTTAATACTTGCTTTGCGGCTAAGAAATTCGATATAAGCTGAGCATAGTTTTTCTTTTCTCAGTTATTGCAAATGAACTATTCATAGTTAAATTTGACCTATGGCTATACTATTATATCAAGATAACGTGACCTTTTCACTTTTTACTTTCTAGCTAGCGCAGACACTTGGCTAAAATGGTCAGTACTATCAACGCAAAACGTTAACTATAGTAATCTAATAAAATTTATTAAAGTTATGGTCAAATGAACAAAAGGGAACAGAAAATAGTTGTTGCTGCAATTTCACAAACCAGGGGTTCACTCTGATTGCACTCAGACTTCTCTAGTAGTGATACATCAGCGAGTTGGAATGAAAAGTTTAGGAAAAGCTATTGTGTGAACTTATTTATTGACTATTTATTAACTTTCACTTGCATGGATTGTTTCTCGTATTAACTAAGTTTTATTAGAAAACATACCCTATTTATCATCGTTGATGAACGTACTTGTAAGAGAGGATAAAAATGACTTTCTCTTAAGTTTTTTTTTTTTGCATTTTTAAGCGATTTTTTTTGAAAAAGAAAAAAGCAAGCAAAAAGGGAAATACAAAGATTATCGAAATAAGAGAAAGAGAGATTTTGTTCTCCTGAAAACGGGAATATTCTCATCATTATTCTAACATCCAGAAGCGCACATCACACATTTTTGATTGATCGATGCAAGATTTGCAAGTGTTTGCAGCTAGTCATGTCTATCCGCCCATCTGCGATCTGTGATTGGAATACTGATGTTTGCAAAATTGTTCTTTTATAATCTAATCAATCCCGTTGGAGCAGATTTAAAAATAGCTGTGTACCGGCCACAGTTATATAAAAAAACCCTTTTATTTAAAATCTGTACCAGAAGATGACAATACAAAAACAAAAAAAAAATCCAGTGCTAAAAATAGCCGTGAAAAGCAAATCCGTGAAATGCCTCCATTCAAATATTTGGCAAGTTCTTAAATGAGAACTTGAGATGGTTCGTGGCCAAAATTCACGTCATACCAAATATATATTAACTTTCATATGCATATGCATTACAAGTATAGACTAACAATGGTCATGCAATCGGACGGATATAATAAAATTTGAAATTTTCTTTACGATGATTCAAGATCTCCAAAGCTTAAAAATAGTCAAATTGCCATAATCGGCATATAATTGCCTCGTGGTCCTATGAAATCACGGTAGCAACCTTGAATGAAAGAAATCTAGCTAAAGAGGTAAGTAGATGGCTAGAGATCGAAGCGATGTATTTCTGTTATCTAATATTCTTATTCCTATATTGAATACACTATAATATTCCAAACATATATATCTCAATATTCGGTTTATAAGGAACATTTGATAATCGCTATCCTTAAGCCTATAAGTACATAAGGACTACAATATATAGGAAATTATTTTATTGTATTAGGTTGAGTCATAAGTAATTTGTGATACAGCTAAGTAGAACCGTTTTATGTGGTACATGTTAAATTCAACTTCAATTCGATTCCTCTGAGTGGGGATATGTAAACAAGGCAATAGCGCCCAAGGCGATAGCTAAATAAATATGCAGCGTATACGGTGAAGGACTGACAATTGATCGGGCGGTTAGAAATTGGTATTGTAAGATTCCGTTCTAAAGATAATATAATTTTGCTAATCAATGAAAACAAAACGAAATATCTCATAAAAAAAGCACAAGTTACTTATGACTCGACCTAATAGCATTCTTTTGTACACTGGTCAAGTTAAGTCTGAAAATTGCGCTTAGCAAAAATCGTCAGATGAAAAATTCAACTGCCATTATATTGCTCGGAATGTTTTATGTATGTTTGTATGTTGATCCCCTTTGGGTAGGACTCATAGCTCATAAACCTTGCTTTTCAAAACATTTCCTATGTACTATGTATTTTTATATTCGTGCTGGAGGTCAGCAATAGTGTTGTGCATTTTCATTAAAAAGATTGTCTCGGTTACGAAAGTGAAGTGAAGTGAAGTGAAGTGAAATTGTTGAATCTAAATTAACCCTTAACGGGCCGAACGATGACGACATGAAAATGAAATAGGGTATGTTGTTTTGTTAAGGACGATTGAATAAAATTGTTTTCTTGTTTTTTAACAAAATTTATATATTTACTCTTTTAATAAGTAGAAAACAAGATTGATAGTAGAAAGAAAACCTGTTCTCAGCAACAATTTGATGAAATTTTTTTTTTCATTGGCGATAAGCAATTATACTTTCTAATCGAAATGAATACGAACATATGAAAATAGCCTGTTGCATATATGTATTTACATATGGCTATTTTTAAATTTAATTAAAAAACTTTAATTAGTTTAAGTCGACTTCTATTCAATTGAATTTGTCTAAGACTCAAGTGGCGAAGAAAATTGACTGATTGATTAAAAATCTGACGATTTAAGCGGTATTTGAATATTTTTGCAAAAGCATAGATGGCAAATAATTGATTAAAATTTTTTATTAAAAGATATTAGTTGGGTCTAACAACAAGGATTCATAAATAAGAGGAAAACTTTGTGCACAGAGTAGGCTAGAACTACTACATATAACTGTGCATATTTTATATTCTTTGTGACTGGAAGCAAACGTTTCTCGAAAGATTTTGAAAGCTGGCAGCGAACGTTTTGCAGAATTGAAATTAACTTTTAGCCTTGAAGACACGATGACATCAGCACATTTAAGTTAAGTAACCATGGAAATATACTAATATTTGAAAAACATTACACATAAGATTATTCAGAATAATCATCATATTATTAAAAAATTAATTAATAATGATAATAATATTTAAGAATAACTGCATCGGGTTAGTCTGTGAATATTGAGTGCCCAAAAAGGAACGCAAAGCTAATGTAATATCAATATTATAAAGCAATGCTAAAAAGCTTCCTCTCGTCCTAAACTTACCAATGTAATTATTGTTTTTATACGGGCACGGAAATTTCAGTTTATGTCATTTTCTATTACGACACAAACTCTTATACACAGCACAAATTGGATAATAAACTTAATAAATTTTCTTTTCCTCAACTAACTTTTATTTACCATACCGTAGCTATGTGTGCGTGCAGATTAATATAATATTAAAAAAAAAAAAAAAGAAGGTATTTGTGAGTCTTTCACCTTCGTATTGTTTACTTTGTACCAACCTTTTTCGTTTACTTATATAAATTTATTAATGATATGGAGAAACTTGAAAAAAAAACAACTTTTTTATAAGCATTCTCCATTAGAGTGCGCAAATTTCGTTGAAATAAATTACGAAAAGTAGAGAAATGCCGCTTATATGACCAGCGAATACTCTATTGCATTGCCTACAACATTGTTGCTTGAAAGAGAACGAATTATAATGGATTGTCCAATATAATGTTTTAAAGTTTCGTCTATCAAAGAGAATGAATTATAAGGAAAGATGGTCTTCTACCCATTAATGAAGGAGTTTGAAGAACAAAAAATGCAAAGAGAATACTGATCGTTTTCTCTTCATAAAGAAAACTAAAATTGTCGAATGAACGAACTCTGAGTATATATGTCATTCTTCTTTTTAAAAGTGCGCTTAAATTTTTTTTAATTAACAATTTCGACTACATTCGCATCTGAGTAAGAGGGGAACAGAGAGAGAATGTTCTTAATGCTCTTAATATTCATCTTTTAGATTGAATGCAATATATATACAATGTAAATGTATGAAGTGTGAAGGAGATGCATTGTAAAGTAAAATCAACTAATTCTCTTTCCTTCATAATTGAACTAACTCTCGTACGAGTACAAGTAAGAAACAAGCAGGTAAAATAGATAAAATGAAAAGTTACATATTTTGTGTAAATTAAAAATGACT